CCCTCCTATCCCCCCCCCCCCGGCACCTTCCAGGCAGCTTCTGTCGCTCAACCCGGACAACTACCGCTACCACGAAGGCCTCCGCGCCGCGCTCGGCCTCGCGCCGGGCGCCGACGGGGCGCTGACTCAGCAGCAGCGGGCGGCGCTCAAGGAGGTGTACGCGGGGCTGGCGGCGGAGCATCCCCGCAGCAGCGCGGTGCAGCGCATACCCCTGGACTTCTCGGTGAGAACTTTGCTCAATCGCAGCCGACGCGATTTCTGCTGTCTTGATCTTGCGGGTCCCCTGTTGACCTGGCGCGGGCCGCCGCTTGCTTCATCCCCTGCCGTGGTGTGATGCGGCTTTGGCGTGGCTGTGTTGTCATCAGCCCGCCGCAGGTCTCGCAGCGGCGGAGGCGGGCGCTTCTTGTAGCTCGTGGCCTTCAAACGCAGCGCAGCGGCTGCGCTGAGTGTTCCGCGGCTCACATGTTCCCTCTCAACACACACCTGCCTACGCACACATGCACGCAATGCATGCACATACGCACGTGCGTGTGCACACATGCATGTACACACACATACACACACACACACATACACACACACGCGTGTGCGCGACTGCAGGAAGGCGAGGACTTCTCAGTGGCGGCGGACGCGTTCTGCCGGCGCTACATCCTGCGGGGCATCCCCTCCCTTTTCTCCGCTCTGCGACCGCTGTACAGGTGGGCGGGTGGGGGGAGGCACTTTGCGTGTGTGCATGCCGACGGGCGGGCTGGCGGCAGCTCGCGTTCGTGCTGCGAATCCAAATGCGTGTGCGTATCTGCATGAGCGTGAGTCGTGCGTGTGCACGAGCGTGTGAATGGTTGTGAATCTGAATGTGCGCGTGTGTGTGCGCCTGGAAGTGTGTGTGCATGTGCATGCGTGTGTGTGGTCGTGTGCGTGTTTGCGTGTGCTTGTGTGTGATACGCGGGCACGCGTGCATACGTCGTGGCGGGAGTGTGAGAAATCCACGCCTGGCTCCGCGCTACAGCCGCGCCCCCGGCCATTCCTCGCCGCACCCAGCATGCCGCACTTCCCAATGCACGTCCGTCTTGACCCACCCCTCCCCTGGCTCCCTCCCCCCCCTGTGGCTGCGCAGTGACCCCGCGAAGGTCGAGCTGCTGACTCAGCTGCTAGCGTCCTACGAGTCATCACTGCGGGAGACGGGCGCCCTACCCCCTCGGCTCGACGGCGGCCCCGACGACCGCGGTGCGGCGCCCCAGCAGCAGCAGCAGCAGAACGGCGGCGGCGACGCGGCCGCGAACGGCGGCGTCAAGGGCAGCGGCGGCGGCGGCGGCGGCGCGTCAGGGCTGCGGCCGATCGAGCTCAGCGAAGCGCAGCGGCGCGCGGACGAGCAGGAGCGCGACCAGCTGGCGTGGGTGCTGCACGCGCTGTCGCAGCACCGCAGCTGGCTTGGGGACGCGGAGGGCGCGCTGGCGGCGAGCGGGGAGGCGCTGGAGCGCGCCCCGGATGTGGTGGAGCTTCACTCGGCGCGGGGGGCCATCCTGGCGGCGGCCGGAGACGTGGAGGGTGCGCGCCGGGGGCGAGGCGGGGCCGGGGTCGGCGCGCGCGGGTTGTTCCGGGCTGCCTGCTGCTAGCTCCGTCTCTGCTCCGGCTGTCAACCGGGTGGCAAGATGATGGCACACTTCTGCAACCCTGCGGCAGCAGGCCGGACCCCTCCGCAATTCTCACGCATGCGGCCGCGCCCCTTTGCCCTTGCACGTGCATGCGGCTCCCGCTCTTTCAGGCGCTGCGCACTGGGCTGAGTCAGCACGGCTGCGTGACCAGGGTGACCGCTACTTCAACAGCCTGGCGGTGGAGGCCCTGCTCAGGTGGGGTGTTCATGTGTGTTTCAGGGAACGTACAAGTGAATTTGTCTTTTTTTGTGTGTGTGTATAAGTGTGTGTGCATTTGTGTGTTTGTGTGAGTGACGCGTGAATGCGTGCGTGCGTGCGTGCGCACGTGTGTGCGCGCGTGTGTGTGTGTGTGTTGAAGAGGGATGGGCATGAGAATTGAGCTGATCGGTACCCTCAGTTTTGCATGCGTTTTTGCGCAGGTTCAAACTCGCTGGAGCAGCAAAGCGCGGCCCGCAGGCGGGCTCCCGCTCATACTCCCCCCCCCAGCGGCACACCCACCCTGGGGCCCACGCATCATGCCGTCCCC